ACTGGTGAGGTTCAGAGAGGAGGATGGGGGCCTTGTGGGAAAGTTGGGTTTGGAAATGGCAACAAATTGGGCTGTAAGTGTGATGTGGCTTATCCCAACTGATAAGGAGGGTCTTTCACTAAGGATGCCTCAAGCTTTGAGTCTCAGGACTGCTCAGTGCTCCAGTGATGCATGGGGCAAGTGCAAGGAGATGTACCCATTTCCCCCTTCAGTTCTGGGCATTTCCCGGAGCGGCTCAGCAGCGACAGGTGTTAGAGACCAGGACTAACCATCTAACCATGTCTCTAGTATTTGCATGAGGAAGCACTTGTTGCAGGGTTAATTTCTGAGTGACAGTGAAATTGGGAGAACGCGGGGTTGAGTGGAGGTGGTGGGGAGAGAGAGGCAGTGGGGCATTTTGAATGGGAGTAGAGGGAGGTACTCCTGTCCTGGCTGGCCTGATTTCTTGAAGTGCTGGGGCTTGGTCTGCTTGGAGACATGGGAGTCCTAATGTAGGCACTGGGCAGGATGCCCCAGCCCCCCCCCCCCCCATTTTGCCATGGAAGCAGCAGCAAGATGGCAAATGCCTATTGCCCTGCTCTTCCCGCCTCCCCCTGCTTCCTCCTCCTTTCTCCTGCCCGGCTGAGCCAGCACTTTTTTCTTCTCTCCTTTATCTGCGTGAAAAGTACAGGGTGTTCTGTTTCTCCTGTGCATACAGATCAAGGAGCGGATGTTATTTATTTATTTCTTTACCCAAGGCGAGAAAAAGACAGGCAGGCACTGAGGACCATTTAAATGATTTTTCTTCCTCAATAAGGCAGTTTCTTATTAAAAAAAAAAATCCAAAAGGAGAAGATGATACAGACCAACAGAAAACAAGTTGCTCACTCCCTTCCTGTGCTGGAGACAACAGAGCACCCAAAAGTCCACTTGAGCCTTTAGCATACAGTAGGGATTCCTGGATGTCTTCTTTCTTCTTTTATTTGGACCCATGGGATGATAAGGGAGGGGGACCACAAGGAACACTTATTTCCTTGCCCTCTGTGGGCAGTGTGGAGCTCCTTTGGCATTTGGGGGGCACCAGGTATAATGGGACTGGTCTAGAATAAGGCCTATGGAGGACCAGGACTATGGGGTTAGCTGTGAGGGTCAAAGGTGGCAGGTTAATTTCTGAGTGACAATAAAATTGGAAGAATGTGGTCTCCAGTTACTTGTGTTACTTCCACCTGACACTCCACTTGTGATATCTTTCTGAGTTCAAGGTTTCTGGGACCTGATGTGGGAAATGGAGGGTTTTTTTTTTTCCTGCATTCATCTTAAAGACAGAGAGTGCCTGCCAGCATTTTCCATGACCATATCCAGAACCCATTCCAAAACCAGTCTGCTTGTAATGTAGTTTCAGAACCTGATGAATTAGTTTCTTGCATGAGCCCCTCGAAAATGCTGACAGTCTTGTAGTAGTACTTAGGGCCTTATTTGATTGTCTCCACAATGGACAAGCTGGCCATACCTTTGGGGAGGCCAGGAGGTCAGGTAACTGGCTGCCAGTTTCTCCTATCCAGGCTTCCCAAAGAAGGAGCTTACCTAGTCCCCTGGTTTTCAGAGGCAATACTCAGGAAGCCTGATGATAAATAGGATGACCAGTACCTTTAGTTTAATCGTATTACACCCTGGACCCCTTAGCAGCTTTTCAAGATGCAGTTCCAGTGAGGCTTGAGAACCACTTCATCCATCTTACCCACTAATAGTATAAAAGAAGTTACTTGCGGCGGGAGGAGGGGTGCTGGCAGGGGACCCCCCCAGTCCTGGGGAGCTGGGGCATGGGGGCGGGGCCGGCAGCGGTGCCACGTCTTCGTGGGGTGCCCAGGAAGCGGTGGCGTCATTGCAGCTGGCGCTGGGCCCTCCGCAGCATGCAGCGTGTTTACAAACCTGACGCAGCGTCAGCGCTGGCTGGCAGACATCCGGCAGCATCATCTCTGACCCTGCCTGCCCGCCCGTCCGCTGGCGCGTGCGGGCAGCCACATCCTCACCTCTAAATTTAGACGGCAGGAAGTAGAACCTGGGGGAGGGGAGGAATGACTTGAGCTAGCTCTGACCCCATGCACTGGAGGGGGTGGGGAGGACTCAGCATCTCAGGGATCGGAGGAGAGGGGAATAGGGACAGAGGAAGGAGGAAGGAATGAAGAGCCCTGAGACCGCCTTTGGCCTCATCCCTTGGGAAAGCCGGGACCCAGCCTCTCTTGGAGAGGAGGCAGGGAGCCCCTGTTCCTGAAAGTGGAAACTGCCGGTGAGAGGTTCTGGGCCTCGGGCGCCACCTTCTGTCCCTTTAGAGAATCGGTTCTGCCCTGAGTGGGTTCATCTGAGTCTTTGGGTTTGGAGGGTGGTCAGGGTGTCCGGAATTCCGAGTGAGGAGGTGGTGGGTCAAACATTCTGTGGCCAGGTGGAATAGGTGGGGGTAAGTGCAAACAGCAGCTTAGCAGCTTGAGTATATTTTGAAAAAGACTGCTTTTGGCTAAGATTGATAAGCAAGGGCACCTTTCCAAGTAGAATGGAAACCTCAGTAGCCAGACCTTGGGATGTGCAGAGAAGGAAGTCAACATGCCAGCCTTTGATCCATAGATAAGTGAATTGGAGGGCAGGGATGAATATCTGAGATAGACATACATACCTATAGTAAGTCACACTTTTTTTTTTTTTTGATATAGGGGATTGAACCCAGTGATTAACCAGTAAGTCTCATCCCCAGCCCTTTTACACTTTTTATTTTGAGATAGGGCCTTACTAAGTTGCTGAGGCTGGTCTCAAACTTTCAGTCTTCCTTCCTCAGCCTCTCAGATCCTTGGGGATTACAGGCCTCCCTTACAAATCTTAAATGTATAAATCAGTGAGTCTTTATGTATATACTGTGTAATCATCACTCAGATCGAGATATGCAGGAAATTCTCTCCGGACCCTTCTTACTCATCTCCCCTCCCTTACAGTCTCTCTTCTGATCCCTGTCTTCACAGAACTTCCTGAACTTTGTGTAAATGAAGTCATACAGTATGTGCTTTTTTGTCTCTTGCCACTTGCTCACTGTCATGTCTTTTAGGTACATCTATGTTGTTGCAAGTATCAGATAGTTCAGTTTTGTTTATTGCTGAAGAATATTCAATTGGGTGAATATACTACATATAGTGCAATGTATGTATCTATTCTATTGCTGATAGATCTTTGGGTTGTTTATACTTTTCTTTTTTTTGTTATTATAAAAAATCACTAGAAACGTTCTTTTTTATTACTAATAACAAAGGCTTTATTGATTAGACTTCTCTTTTATCATTGCCCTATTAGTGTTTCCTTGAGCTCAAATCTGCCCCCAGGTCAGCTTGTGGAGAAACCAAATGAAAACAGAACTTAAAGAATGAAGCAGTTATTAGGTGGAAACATTCTTTATTTAAAAATTTTTTGGTTGTAGTTGGACACAATACCTTTATCTTATTTATTTATTTTTTATGTGGTGCTGAGGATCAAACCCAGGGCCTTGCACGTGCTAGGCGAGACCTCTACTGCCGAGCCACAATTCCAGCACTAGAAACATTCCTCAACAGATTTATTTGGTGGAATATACCCTGCTTCTCTTGGGTGTTTTCTTAACAGTGGATTGCTATGCAGTAAGAAGGGTCATACTTAACTCTTGGTTATGGGTGACAGTTTTTTGTTTTTACCATAGTTGCAGGCAGCTTCCTCTACCTGAGTTTATTCTGATGTTAGATCCTGGACACTGTTAGATTCTGCAGCTTCTGCTACTCAAACCTCAGTGAAGGAACTGGAGTAGACATTGTTTGGGTCAAGGAAAGACCAGAAACAGGATCAGGACTGAGAGTATTGTCCCAGGACACCTCCAAATTCTCTTGATCATTCTGGGAATAGAGAGGCTGTGTCTTCTGGGGCAGATTCAGACACCCTGTTGGCCTCCCAGCAACGGCTCCTCTAGTCTGGCGTCTCTGAGCAAGCTGGCTTAGTGTAACTGTCAATTTGATGTCTGGCCTCTGGTGCCACGGGTCCTCATGGTCCTCCGTTTCCCGGGCTCCTTGCTGCTTTGTGGTGACTGAGGGGCTGGGTGGCTGGGTAAAAAAAAATGTACCAGGAATAGCAGAGGCTTGATAGACACCAGCCTCGTGGCACTCTCTGGGGGGAGGGTGGGACTTTGTCCTTCCCACCAAATTGCCACCTCATTGAGACTGTGAAAGACTAACAGAAAGCCTAGATGAGAATTAAAGGGGTGAGAGAGGGAGAGAGAGAGCGAGAGAGAGAGAACACGAGGGCACATGCCAGGCAAGAGTCAGGCAAAGGAGCAAAGCAGTGTCTATCCTTGTGTGTGCAAATATCCTGGACTTGGTGTGAGCATCCTGTGGTCCGTGCAAGTATCCTTGGGTATGTGTGAGCATCCAGGGGTTGGTGTCAGCATTCTGGGGTTGGTATGAGCGTCCTGGGGTTGGGTCAGCATTCTGGAGTTAGTGTGAGCATCCTGTGGTCTATGCAAGTATCTCGGGGCCTGTCCTTGGGTATGTGTATCCTGGGGTTAGTGTGTGTCTCCAGGGTTTGATGTGAGCATCCTGGGTTTGGTGTGAGCTTTCTGGGGTTGGGACATACTGGACCACAGTAGCCATGCTTGGCTGCGCTAGTTCAGGATCAACAGCCTCATGGTCAATGTCTCTTGACTTTGGCTTTTTTGGTCATCTTGCCTCTGCTTTGGGGCCTGTGGATAGGAAAGAGGTACTAACAGGTTTGGGATGGAATTGATGGATGTCAGAGGCTTAGGGTGGGCTCCATTTCCTGGTGGGGACTCAAATGTATCCCTCCTTTCTTTTCTTTATTCCCTTCCTTCCTCCTACCTTTATTTACTTCTTTCTCCTTTCCTGCATCCTTTAGAGGTAACTCTTCTTGTCCAGGTCTTCAGAGAGGGAGGAGTAGGACTTGGTCCCCTCTAGAGGACAGAGTGTGATGGGAGCCTGTGAGTGTGACACTCCTCCTCCTAGGTTCCTAGAAGGCGAGTGCGGACGGTATGCAAAGTTGTGAATCCAGTGGCGACAGTGCGGATGACCCTCTCAGTCGTGGCCTACGGAGAAGGGGACAGCCTCGTGTGGTGGTGATCGGCGCCGGCTTGGCTGGCCTGGCTGCAGCCAAAGCACTTCTGGAGCAGGGCTTCACAGATGTCACTGTGCTTGAGGCTTCCAGCCGCATCGGAGGCCGCGTGCAGAGCGTGAAACTTGGTAAGCATTTCCCCAGGCAGCACCTCCCTAGGTCACATTTTATTCTCTAACCCATGACCCTGCCTGAAATCTCATTATCTTCTTCCTTAGGATACACATTTCTTCATATAACCTGTAAATATTTTCCAGAAGCTTCCTTTGTGTCCTTCACAGAGGGGGAGAAGGTGGAGTTCTAACATCCATTCTTGGAGAATGCTGGCTTGGTAGCTAGGATTCATAGTGTTCAGGAGGAAGGAGACACCTAGAAGCAGCTTGCTTGGTGCTAAGTGGGCTAGTTTCTTCTATGTTGCAAGAAGGGGAATCTGCAACTTCCTACTAGTCGTTAATTTTTGAGTATGAATTAGTGTATCATTACTAAGAGAGCTAGTCCTAGGACAATAGAAACTTAGGTTAGCAGAGATGGAAGGGATTTGGGACCTTCTTGTGGGTGATGTGAAGGTCTTAGGATTGTCTGTAAAGAAGGTCTGTTCAGGTTTCAGATAAAGAGGACCCTAGAGAAAGCAGCCAAGTAAAAGACTTGATTTTGGGATGGGCAGATTTTACCAGGTCTCCTATAGAGTGGGGGAGATTGCTTGAGATGCAGCTGGAGGTCGGGGCTTCCCAGTCATTGTGGGGATCTGACCAGTGAGAGGTTAAGACCATGAAGATGACCCATGGAGAGCACACTTGGTGGCCTGCAGTGTGTGGATGAGCCCTCTATAGGGTTTTGTGTGTGTTTGTGTCTGTTCTACCTTAGTTGGCAAGGGCAAGAAGAGCCTGTGAGCTCACTTGCTCGGAGAGGAAGGTGGTCAGGCTTAGAACCAGCAGAGATTAGGACACCTGGGGACCCTCTCTCTTCTTGTAGAAGAATGAGTTAAGAGTCTTTCCCTAGACCAGTGACTAGAAAGCATAGGTAAAGTTTTGTCCCTCCTCCTCCGGCACACACTGTAGTGTCTGCTGGAAGTAGGGATGAAAGTACCATCCAAAGGACTTGTAAACCTGGGACAGCCCGTGGAAGTGCTGGGACTCTTTGCTAACACCCAGTTGGTTGGCTGGCTGGGAGCCTTGGGGAAAGGCAGTCTAATTACCCATCTGGATGAGATGATCAGGGTCTGATATAGAAACAGAAGACAAGGAGACAGATGGCCTAGTCATGATAGCTGAGAGCTGAGAGCTAGACATGACCACGCTAAATGGTCATCATTAGCTGTAACCTGTACGAATCTTTCTCTGAATCTCAAGACCTACCCCTTACCTACAAAGGGGCCCCCAATTCCCTTCCACCTCTGCTAACCAGCCTTCCTATTGCCTGGGGCAATTCACACTCATACAGGAAAATGCTGGTACAAGGTGGCACTGCAGGAGAGAAGGGCCGAGGAAGGCTGAGAGAATGACTGGGTAGGAAGTCTTGCTGTGGGGAAGGAGGCTGGGTATGCAATGGTGGTGGTAGAAGTTGAGCAGATAGAGAGAAGAAGAGGCAGTATGTGTGGAACGATGAGTGTGAGAAGATGGAGGTGGCCAGGATGGGGAGCACATGTTAGAGCAAGGCTGTGTGTAATTGTGTCATGTGTGCAGTCCCCAGGACACTAAATGTCTGTGAGGTTGGCATAGAGATGATGTCTGATGCCCTTTGGATGCATGGATGATAGACAAGGATGACAGAGACAGAGGGGCCAGCTGGGAGGGGGCAGGCAACATCCTCTGCTGGGGGCTTGCTCTGTGCAAAGCTTGGGGATAGAGGTGGAACACTGACTCTGATCCTGACCTTGAGCTTCTCACCTCTTCCTGCTTTTGATGAGTATCCCGAGGCAGGAAGGTGCTCTGTGTCAGGGCTGCCCAGTGGGTGGTGTTAACTTGTAACTCCCTGCTGTGCCCTAGGAAGGGTTCAGGTCCCTCCTCAGAGTACTGGTAGCTTTCCTCTTCCATTGTGAACTCACAGCAGACCAGACACTTGGGGAGCCTGAAACCTAAGGCTCTAGAGGAAGGTTAGTAATAGAATGACCTTAATGACCACTGGGTTACCTTTGCAGGCAAGGCACCAGGCTTTCAACTACTGGTGCTCTTCAGTCTGATCACTTTTCTTGGACAAAGAGACCTATACATTCCTGCTTTTTCCAGAGACACCAGGAAATTCTGTTTTGTTAGCTATGGTATGAGGTTGCATTTTCTCTTGTTTTTGGCCTGTACATGTGTACCAGGCTATTTTTAGTAACTGCTGATTTAATTAGAAGCAGCCAAGGAAAGGGAAGGCATGAAAAAGGAGAACATGCCTAGTTCTTAGGGTGAGGGCTAATACTGCTGTGTGTTAGAATGTATTGGATAGCTATTGCTGTATAACAAAATGCCCTTAAATGCAATGGCCTAAAGCAGCATCATTTGATTTGCTTAAATTCTGCAGGTCAGAAATGTTGGCAGGACTCAGGTAAGTGGGTCTTTTGCTGGATTTGCCTTAGCTCCCTCATATGGCAACAGTCATCTGGCAGCTTAACTGGGGTTGGTTAAGATATCTAAGATGGCCTCACCCACATGCTTGGTGGTTGGCATAGGTTTTTGGATCCAGCATGTATCTCTAGTAGGATAAGACTGGTCCCCCTGCACCATGGTTGTTACATTCTAGAGGGTGAGAGTAGAAGCCACGAGGTCCCTTGAGGCCTTGGCTCTGAAGCCACAAATATCATTTTCACCATATTCTACTAATCAAAGCAAGGCATGAGTCCAGCCCAGATTCCAGGGGTGGGGAAAAGGACTCCACCTCTTGATGGGAGAAATGGCAAAGTCATGTTGCCAAGGGGCATGTTTACAAGGATAGGATGGTTTTTTGTGACCACCTTGGCAAGAAATTTACCACATATATCTTGAACCAGTGTGCAAAAACAAAACACCAAAAATGTTTCTATCCTCTTTGCATTGTTTTGACTTCTCTGGGAACTAAGTAGGGAAGGAAATGAATGTACCATGGTCCTTGAAGCATTAGAAGAGGAAACTGAGGCTCAGGCAGAGAGACAGCATGCCAAAGTCTAGACTTTGGCTGGAGGTGGAAAATAGAACCATTTCCCAGGGCTGTCCCAACTGGGACCCAGGAGTGACCTTCCAGCCACCTCAAATAAATGCTCTAACCAGAGAATCTCTGCCCCCTGTGCTAAAGGATTAGAAGGCATATTTCCCCCTGGAGATCTGGTTTAGATTTCTCTAAGGAGGAATCTTTCAAACTGGAATGTTGGCCCTCTCTCTCCTCCCCATTTGGAAGGGGCCTTTTTCTATCTGGGAGAAGGACTTAGACCCTGGGGTGAGGATGGTATGGAGGAGTTGGAGTAAGGCTGGATGAGGATCTTGGTCCTTTACTTAACTTGGGTGCCCAGGTGTCCACAGTTTTCCTCTCAAGCAGGGAGGTGCCAGGGAGGAGGGAAGTCTGGTATCTGGTGTTATTTTGGAAAAAGGTTGGACTGGAAATGGAGAGCCTTCTAACTGTTCCCATCCTGAATCATTCTGGGTGGCTCTTCTCTTAGCTGTAAAGTGGGTTTCACTGGGAACTTTTCCCTGAAGTCTTTAGTTGGTTATCAGAGGACACTGAGCCCTTTCTTGTCCTGTTCTTGAGGTTGGGAGGATTCCCTTGGAGGAAGAAGAGGAGGCAGTGTTCAGGCCCTGTCTAAAGAAATTCCTGCCCCTCTAAGGGCCTATTGTTGTTGCCATTAGGACACGCCACCTTTGAGCTGGGAGCTACCTGGATCCATGGCTCCCAGGGGAATCCTGTCTATCATCTAGCAGAAGCCAATGGCCTCTTGGAAGAGACAACTGATGGGGAGCGCAGCGTGGGCCGCATCAGCCTCTACTCCAAGAATGGGGTGGCCTGCTACCTTACCAACCGTGGCCGCAGGATCCCCAAGGACGTGGTTGAGGAATTCAGCGATTTATACAACGAGGTGAGGGTTGGTCAGGCAACAGGGTGTGGGGAGGGTGGGAGGAGTTGGGAGACCTGCGGGGTCTTCTATGATCCTAGTTGTGTGTCTTTGCACACTATGGGGCCTACCTTTGGAAAGGAAGGACAGTTTGAGAATAAAATGCAAATAATGAGTGGAGAGGTACTAGGCAAGTCATACTTTATGCACATGATTAAATATTTCTTCAAAATGGCCTTAAACATCTTTTGTTAGTGTTATTAGAAAATACTTGCGGGGCTGGGGATGTGGCTCAAGTGGTAGCGCGCTTGCCTGGCATGCATGCGGCCCAGGTTCGATCCTCAGCACCACATGCCAACAAAGATGTTGTGTCCGCCGAGAACTAAAAAATAAATATTAAAATTCTCTCTCACTCTCTATTTAAAAAAAAAAAAAGACCATTTGGACTTTAAAAAAAAAAAGAAAAGAAAGAAAATACTTGGGTGGCAGTGTTTTCTATGATTGTTTTTGGATACTCTTAAAATTTTATTTTCTAATTATTCACAGTATATAGCAGTAGAACTGATTTTTATATATTGAGTTTAACTTCCTTGCTGAATTAATATTTTGATTCTAATAATATCTAGTTACATTATGGAATACAAATTAGTATATCTACTAATATACTAATTTGTATTCCATAATGTAACTGTTAATATACTAGTTTATATTCTATGACTATTTCTGAACTTTAGGTACTACATGAAAATGAAAATTTTGTCTTTTTTCTTTCTAATCCTTAGGGCAGAGTTGTCTAGTAGAACATTTTCACAGTGATGGATATATTTTAAATCTGCACTATCCAATAGGGTAGTCACTAGCCACACGTGGCTTTTGAGCACTTGAAATGTAGCTGGTATAACTGAGAAGCTAAATATTTAATTTTAAGTTGCTACAGGTGTCTGGTGATTATTGTATTAGGTGCATAGCCTCAGAATATTTTTCTTACCATATTGCACTGGTTAGCATCGCAGTCTAATGTTAGAGGTAGCAATGGCATACATCCTTGAATTATTCAGGTTTTTAAAAAATTGTTAATGTTCTTAGTATCTTTCAGTGGTGCTGTGAACTGCACTGAACAGGCAAGGTAATGTATAGACCTTGTTTTCTGATAGCCTGGCATTTGTAATGTAATGACCCTTTTTACTCCATCCAGGACAGCAAATGGACCAGCAAGCACCTTTTGTGCATTTTCTAATCTCTTGCTTTGGAAGTCCCTGCTGTGTGGAGGACAGGGACACAAAGTGTTTTCTCTGTAGGCACTGGCAGTATATTTTCTGTATAGTTCCTTGGTATTATGTATTTTCACTCACTGCAGAGAAGTTGAATTATTATCGATCAGATAAGGACTAGTATTCTTCAAGGTAGACCTTCCTGGTCTACACCCTGATTCCCAGGCTATTGGAGTGCTTCAAGCATGGATGCTTCTTGAAAATGACTTTCAGGACCATGACCTCCCCCGACCTACCACTGCTCCAGCACTGGGGTTCAAGCCCAGAGACTAGCACATGCTAGGCATATGCTTTACCACTGAGCTGCACTCCCAAACCTTGCTCTTTTAAATGTCCTTAAAAGTAGATCATCAGCTGGGTGTGGTAGTCCTGGGGATTACAGGGATTGTACACCTATAATTTCAGCAGCTTGGGAGGCTGAGGCAGGAGGACTGCAAGTTTGAAGCCAGCCCCATCAATTTAGCAAGACCTTAAGAAACTTAGTGAGATCTTGTCTCAGAATAAAAAAATAAAAAGGGCCAGGGATGTGGCTCAGTGGTAAAGTGCCTCTGGGTTCAATAATCAGTACCAAAAAAAAAAAAATGTAGATCATCGTCAGCTTGTGCTGGTCCATTTGATTTTTGAAAGTCAAGGGTATGAGTTATGGAAAATAGGGTAGATAAAGTAGGTTATCAGTTTATCAATCTGGGTCATGATGCTTTGGGTCTGAAGGTTGAAGCATAACCATGAGGTTAGGATTTCCTTGATGATGATCTTGATTCAAATATCAGTTATAATATTTATTAGCTATAGGGGGGTACTGGGGATTGAACCCAGGGACACTTAACCACTGAGCTACATCCCCAGCCCTTTTTTGTATTTTATTTAGAAACTGGTTCTCACTGAGTTGCTTAGGGCCTCACAAAGTTGCTGAGGCTGGCTTTGAACTCGAGATCCTTCTGCTTCAACCTCCTGAACCGCTGGGATTACAGGTGTGCACCACTGGGCCTGGCCTAGCTATGTAATCTTGAGCAAGTTATTGAACCTCTCAGACCTTTACTTTCCTTATTTGTAAAAAGGACATGGTTGTACCTACTTCTTAATGTTGTAAGGATTAAATGAAATCCCAGTGAAAAGTGCTTAATAAGAATTGAGGTAGCTGGGTGTGGTGGCACATGCCTGCAATTCCAGTAGCTTGGGAGGCTAAGGCAGGAGGATCTCAAGTTCAAAGCCAGCCTCAGCAACTTAGTGAGGCCCTAAACAACTTAGTGAGAACCTGTCACAAAAAAAAAAAAAAAAAAAAGCCAGGGATATCGTTCAATGGTTAAGTGTCCCTGGGTTCAATTGCTGTATCCCTCCAAAAAAAGGTAGGGCTAGTATTAGCTACCTTTGACCTGTCCCATTTCCTGGAATCACATCAGGAAGCCATTATTTAACCTAGGGGAGGAGACTGTACCTACATGACAAACTCAAGTTCAAGTTAAGGCTGTCCTCAGCAGTGGTGGACACAAAGACAGGCAACATTCCTTACTCCTCAGTTGGGTTTTGGCCTCTAGTCAATCAACATGAGCTAAGGATGGGCTACCATGTTGCTAATCACTCAAGGAAAAACCCCAGGGAGGGGGAGGTAGTTGAGAGCCTGACGCCTTGGCAGTGGTCTGGTGTGAGGAATTTGCTGAGGACTCCAGTTAAGGCCAAACACCCAGGATCTTGTGACTGCAGAGAGGACAAACGAATAATTTAACTCATTTTCTTTTGTATAATTTATACTTACAAGACATGTTTAATTCATGTTTCTATCTCTTGTGGAGGCCTTTCCCTTGAGTGGAATGGTGGGGGTGGGGAGTGGTGATCTCAGTAGGCTTTGTCACCTCCCTTGACTCTGTGGCCCCAGGGCCTGTCCCAGGGCTGGGGTGCAGGGCACACATTGTTCTCCCAGATGTGTGCTGACTGAATCTGAACTCACTGTAGGAAAGGAAGCACACCCCTAGTCAGCTCAGCTGCAGATGTGCAGCCCAGGAGCCCACATTTGCCAGTGTCCTGGGAATCACAGCAGTGGGTGGGGGATCTTGCTGTCTTCCTGCTGACAGATTTTTTAGATTAAGTCTTAGTCCTTGATGTCCCAGCCCCTGCCTGTCCTTTCAGAGTCATCTCTTGAACTTTCTCTCTCCTTGTTGCTCCCTTTGACAAGATTCATCCACATTAAGGTTTCTGAATGCATCTCCATCTCTCCCCACCTGTCTCCCTTCCCGCCTCTGGCTGTGCTCTTCCCTCTGCCTGAAACACTTTGCTTTTCTTTCCCAATGCCATCCTGACTTTCTCTCAACTATTTAGGGCTGGTAGATCTCATAACACCTGGGTTCTTTTCTATCACAGCATGTCCCATAAATACAGCTGTCATGGAATATCTCTGTAATTTGAGTGGTCATGGCCATGGACCCTTTCTCTCTTGCTCACCATTACAACCTGTGTCTGGCATGAAGCCTAATAAATGTGTGTTGAGTGAATGTTGGGGCCTGCCCCAGGGATGGCTTACCTTCTTTAGGGAGGCCTGCCTAGAGTTTTGTGGAGGTTATATACCAAGCAGGCAGGGGTTGAGTAGAAGGACTCTGTTCAAGGGACTGATTATCACTATTGCTGAGATGTGGGTTGGAATTCTTACTGAAATGTGCCCACAAAATAATTTCCATTCCTTGGTGTGCTGGGGCTTCCTTGAGATGTCCCTTCTGTGTTCAACCCTTCCCTCTGCATTGCCTCTTTTTTTACATGCATCTGAGACCCTAATGAAGGGCATGCTTTATGTGGATCCAGGAAGATGCTGTTGCCACCCTTTCTCCTTTCACAAGGCGAAAGAGGCATCTCTGAGTGATCAGATCTCAGGGACCCTCTGCTCCTCTCCCTGAAACACTGGCCAGTTGACAGCTTTAGGCTGCTTTCTTGGGAAAGGGCAGAACAGAAATGCATGGGCAGGAGGACAGGGAAAGGGTTGTGCATTTGATTCTTGGGAAAGGTGTGTGTACGTAGACCTGTGTTCCTTCGTGGGATGTGGAGCCCTACAGACCTGTACAGAGCCTCTGAGGGGGTGGTTTCTTTTCCCCCAGACTGTATAGGTGCCAAATGTTTCAATTCTAAGTGAAGGCCCAGCAACAACCTTGGAATCCATGCCACCTCTCTGAGGTGAGGAGGCTGGCTGCCTAGGGCAGCCTGCCATTCCCAGTCTGCTTAGCAGGTGCTCCATCATGCAGAGGTCAAGGGCTCAGCACATCTAGGGACCACCTGGTAGCTGTCACTTTCAAATTGGGCTCCGTTCATTTGGGGGTGGAGGTGCAATGAGGGAGTGTGAGTTTCCTGGGGGTCTCTCTGGCAGGTCTATAACTTGACCCAGGAGTTCTTCCGGCATGGTAAACCAGTCAACGCTGAGAGTCAAAACAGCGTGGGGGTGTTCACCCGGGAGGAGGTGCGAAATCGCATCAGGGATGACCCTGACGACCCGGAGGCCACCAAGCGCCTGAAGCTTGCCATGATCCAGCAGTACCTGAAGGTATTCTGGGGGAGTCTGGGTCTGAGGAGGGCTGTGCTGCCCAGAGTTCTTGTTCTTTGCCCAGCCTGGCTCTGGTGTCATTGGCTTCTCTCTGGGTCCTCCCACAGGTGGAGAGCTGTGAGAGCAGCTCACACAGCATAGACGAGGTGTCCCTGAGCGCCTTTGGGGAGTGGACGGAGATCCCCGGTGCCCACCACATCATTCCCTCAGGCTTCATGCGGGTTGTAGAGCTGCTGGCTGAGGGCATCCCCTCCCACGTCATCCAGTTGGGGAAACCGGTCCGTTGCATTCACTGGGACCAGGCCTCAGCCCGCCCTCGGGGCCCTGAGATTGAGCCCCGGGTTGAGGGCGACCATAATCATGACACCGGGGAGGTTGGTCAGAGTGGAGTGGGTCCCCAGGGGGGCAGATGGGATGAGGATGAGCAGTGGCCGGTGATGGTGGAGTGCGAGGACTGCGAGGTGATCCCCGCGGACCAYGTGATCGTGACCGTGTCGCTGGGCGTGCTCAAGAGGCAGTACACCAGCTTCTTCCAGCCAGGCCTGCCGGCAGAGAAGGTGGCTGCCATTCACCGCCTGGGCATCGGCACCACCGACAAGATCTTCCTGGAATTCGAGGAGCCCTTCTGGGGCCCAGAGTGCAACAGCCTGCAGTTCGTGTGGGAGGACGAGGCCGAGAGCCGCACCCTCACCTACCCGCCGGAGCTCTGGTATCGCAAGATCTGCGGCTTCGACGTCCTCTACCCGCCTGAGCGCTATGGCCACGTGCTGAGTGGCTGGATCTGCGGGGAGGAGGCCCTCGTCATGGAGAAATGCGACGATGAGGCGGTGGCTGAGATCTGCACGGAGATGCTGCGTCAGTTCACAGGTGTGCCCTCTGCCGCCCTTTCCACCTGACCCCTTCCTCAGCCAGCTTCCCCGGGAGACCCTTGGCAGGTCTCCCCCGCCCCCCCCCCCCAGACTGTGAAACCCAGATGGCTGTGGGCACCGGGAGCCACTGCAGGGCACCAGCTTGGCTCCTAAATTGCTGACACTCTCACTTCAGAGCATGAAACTCTCAATGGGTGCTGTGTTTTCTTCCCCTTCTAAGGACTGATGGCAAAAACACTGCCCATTCCTTTCCCATGGTCTTCCTAAGAGTTGGATTTGATTTTTATAATCTGATTGTTTTAGTGAAACATTCTCTACACATATTTCCAGGAGAACTTAACAGGGACCCCTGACATTAGAATGGGAAATATGATTATCTGTAATTTTTTTTTCAAGTGCTGGGGATGGAACCCCAGCCTTGTGCTAGGCTAATGCTGTACCAACTGAGCTACATTCCCAGCTCCCTTAGTTATTTTTAAGATAGGAAAATTAGGACCCTGAGAGATGGAATGTTTTGCTGGGGGTCACCCAGAGGTGATGAGTGGGCCTCCCTCCCTCCCTCCTCCTCCACCCTCAGTGCCTTCTCCAGGCAGCCTGATATTCCTGGAGCCCTGGAGGTGGGGTGGAGTTGTTCATTCTGGGATGCCTTCTGTATGTATGTATGCAGCCTTGTTTCTTATCCTTCCTCCTCTTGGCTCTTCTGACTCCCCAACAGGGAACCCCAACATTCCAAAACCTCGGCGAATCCTGCGCTCAGCCTGGGGCAGCAACCCCTACTTCCGAGGTTCTTATTCATACACACAGGTGGGCTCAAGCGGGGCAGATGTGGAGAAGCTGGCCAAGCCCCTGCCCTACACCGAGAGCTCTAAGACAGCGGTGAGTGGGGTTGTGTTTGTGAGAGACCTGGGAGTGGGTGTGTGGGTATTTCGTGTGTGTCTGGTCCAGGTTGAGGAAGGGTATGAGGTAGTGTTCACTAAGGTGTGCTAAAGTCATGCAGCAGTGGAGTGGCACCTATAATGAAAGAGAAAACAAGACAGTGTGCGCTTAACATCTGGAAGAAAAAAAAATGGAATCAAATTGAAACTTTAAATGCTTTCTTGGGATGATAAAAACTGAGCCATTTCATTCTGTTAGTTAATATGGTAGCAGTTAGTCATATTTGATTTAAATTAACCAGAATTTAAATTAATAAATTAAAAATTTCATTTCTTGGATGCATTACTCACATTTCAAATTTAATAGCCACATGTGGCAAGGGGCTATCCTATTGGATTATGCAGCTATAGAATTTTTCAGTGTCATAGAATGTTCTATTGGATAGCACGGATTCAATGGAAATATTTTCCTACCATGTTTTAGAAAATAAAATTAAGAACACTACCCACTCCAAAATTATGTCACCTGTACACTAAAAAAAAAGGTAAATTTGAGAGTAATATATATTTTTGTTTCCACAAAGTGGATTTTTAGTTTTCCCAACTAAGTGTACATATAACAATAAATGTTAAAACCTCCACAGAATTAAATTTAAAACAATTCTTTGGAAAATTGGCGAAGGAAATTTCAGTCACCAAGGTACACTGTGTGTGCCCTGCTATGCTCAGAGGGAGAAAGGAAAGGGGTCTCAGAGAGGTCCCTACCACTGCCATAGCCATCTTTGCAAAAAGTAAACCTCTTATCACATGCCTCAGGACTAGTGCATGTAAAAAGGCAAAGTAAAACAAAAATAACTGTGGCTTAAACAAGACAACTTTACTTCCAGCACACAAAAGGAAATCTGGAGGTAGGCGTCAGGACCTAGTATTATTAGTTACTGACTTTTATCTTCAGGGCCACCTTATGGTCCAAGAAGGGTGCAGAGGCTCTGGATCTTACATCTGCCTCTTAGTGTAGAAGAAGGAAAGGCAGATGGGCAAAAAAGGGGAATCCCTTGGAGCTGAGACATGGATCTCTAAGCAACCATGCATTTGCATTTCATTGGCCAGTACTTTGTTATATGACCACACCTTGATGATGGAGAGGCTGGGCCACATCATTTTTATTTGGGATGACATCTGGCCCAATTAAAAACTAGGGCTTTATAATTGAGGAGATAGAGGAGAAAGGGTGGATGTGGGAACAGGTGTCTGCTACAACATCCTTCCCGCCACCTTTTCTGTTTAACAACCTCTATGGGTTCCTTGTTGGTGGGATACAGCTACATCTGGGAACTTATTAGGAAAGCACATTCTCAGTGCCCCCAAGAAATGATGGATTAAAAACTGCATTCGATCAGGCTCCACAGCTGATGCCTCGGCATTTGCAGTTTGAAAGGCATCAGAATAAAGTCCACACACAAGCTTGGGATGCAAGAACTTGAACTTTGCCTGGACTTTACCAAGAGAGCCTGCTTTCTCCAGGTTGATTCCTGGATATACAAAAAATTGCACTTTCCCCCCAGTGTGGAGCATTTTTTGCTCCCACTTTTACCTTTCTCTGAATGTTCTTTGCCTCTATTCATCCAGCATCTTCTGAGAACTGGCCCAAAGGTTCTCTCCTCTGGGAAACTCTGTGGGATCCACCAGGCCTCTTTTCTGAGCCATTGGCACCTCACCCAAACACCTACCACATCATGTATGACCGTTGTWTAGTAATTGGGTTTCATGTCTGGCTTCCCCACCAGCATGGAAGCACCACAAAGCAGCAGCCTGCTCACCTTTTATCATCCAAGTGCCCAGAACAGTCCCTGGACCTTGATAGGGGCTCCATAAAGGTTTGTTAAATCACCACCTGACTTTATCATATGCTTATGTTCTTCCAGGTTCTAAGTGCTTTAGATCCATGATATCACTCAGTCCTTGTAACCACCCTCAGAAGTAGGAGTTACAAACACATTGAGGTTAAACCCCTTGCCCTGTTTGCTACTAAGAGGCTCACAGAGCATTTGAGACTGCAGAGCCTGGACTTCTAATAGCCTCAGGTCAGAAAGAACCAAGGTCTGGATGTTTGGGGAAGAAAGAGGGGAAGGTGACCAGGTGGGATGTGTAGCTCCTCATCCTGTGGAAGCAGCAGAACCTGCATCTTAGATGCCTGCCCATTCTTCTGTGATTTGTGGTAGGGATGAGGGTTCTGGGGCATTCAAGAAGCCCTTTGGCCTCTGCTGCTCCTTCATCCTCACCTCCCCTTCCCCCTACCCAGCCCATGCAGGTGCTGTTCTCTGGTGAGGCCACTCACCGCAAGTACTACTCCACCACCCATGGTGCTCTGCTCTCTGGCCAGCGCGAGGCTGCTCGTCTCATCGAGATGTACCGAGACCTCTTCCAGCAGGGGACCTGAGGGCTATCCTCACTGCCTAGCGAGCATGTTCCTTAAAGAACAACTAACTCGTGACTGCCAGCCCCTGCCCCTTGCTCCCTTGTGCCCCTAACTTCCCAATCCTCTGTAGAATGGATTTTAATCTTTGGTAGAGCTAGATAATCTGGCTGGCCTCAGACCCAGCCCTGTAGCTGTTCCTTTTCTCCAGACCAGGTGGTGACCCTGTGGGGCCCGTTGATTTACCTCTGTGCTGGGATGCTGACTCCTGCACCTCTCCTTCTCCCTCCTCGTTATTGCAAGTGCCTTCAATACTTTGCATTTTGGGATAATAAAAGAGGCCACCCTTCCTGTGCTCCTCAGCTTCTCTCCTCAGTTCTCCTCAGCCTCTGCGTGTGTGTTTTTAATCACACCTCCTTTGAGGGGGGGTTGGTGGGGGGAACCATGGCCTGACGATGTCCCCAGAATGGTAGGTGCTTGCATTTACTGGAGGGGATATCCCCCTCGCCGTATTTGTGGCTAAACAGAGAGGTTCTTCAGGAATATAGGCCTCACCCTGCCCAGTGCTGGCTCCTTCAGGATGGGCCTAGGTCTGCTTCATGGCCCTTTGCCAGACTTCTTGGAGCTTAATTGGATGATGAACTGCATGGAGTGAGGTGAGTTCCTTGTGTGGAGACCCCACTTGTGGCTCCCTGCCAGGCTCAGATGTGTTCATTGTGAATCTGTTGCTGGTCACAGGGTGGTGGATCTGGCCCTTGCAGAGGTGTCTTTTGAGCCTCTGAGAATGTGGATAACATGACCATTTTTTTTTTCTTTTTTGGTGGCAGGGAGATATCCTGAGTGTGACCCATCTGCTGTGTTCCAAGGATCTGCCACTTATGGGAGGTGGGGATAGAATTTTCTTCTCTTTTTGCTGAGTGGAACATGTCCCCGCACTTATACTCCACCCACACACCTATAGGTGCTTCTTGTGCACATGTAGACATACAGCCTCCATCCATGTTACCTACACATAACATGAACCTACATACACACATGCACATACCTGAGTTTATCCACGAGAAGTGTTTATAGAATTTTTGCCAAGGATCCATACCCATCTGCTGGCATAACTTAAAAATTATATATATAAAACATTTTTTTTGAACAGAGGAATGTATTCATGTGATTCAAGCCCAAAAGCCCTTTGAATTGTATATTTTTTGAGGGTGGGGGGGTACTGGGGTTTGGACCCAGGGGTTCTTAATCACTGAGCCACATCCCCAGTTCTTTTAATTTTTTATTTTGAAATGGGTCTTGCTAAGTTATCCAGGACCTTGCTAAGTTGGTGAGGTGGGCCTGAACTTGTGATCCTCCTGCCTCAGCCTCCTGAGCTGCTGGTATTACAGGTATATGTCACTGAACCTGGTGAAACAATCCTTGTTATACCTGTTCAGAATCACCATTGCCCCTCCATATACCCTTGCTATTATGTCAGGTGTTTCTCTTCTTAGATATGTCAATATTAAGATACTTTTCCTTCTTTTTATACAAAAGTGCCAAAGTATTCATCCTGTCCTTTATTTTGCTTTTTTAGATTAACAGTATTCACTGGACATCTTTCCACAGTAGTACTTAAACAGACAATGTAAATTTAGACATTACTTTGGTTAAAGCAGGTCTGAGTCCTTCCGACTTAGTGCCTTGGAGGCACCTGTCCACCTCTCACCCTCCCCAGCTCCTGGTTTTTCCCACCAACTGCAGTGGGTTGGACAGAAGTAAACCCATGGCATAAATATGGGGCAAGAAAGTAATACAGGTTCTCGGGGTCACAGGCATAGGAATTGTAAGGGACTCTATGGGGATGAGAGGGCGGGAAATGTTTCTTTGGTGACTCCATGTCAGGTATGGGTAAGAGGGAGGGAGAGAACATTCACTTGGTGCCAGTCACCCTCTGGCAGGGTGTCAGTCATAAATGATGGGCACATTGTCTCTTGATTTGTTATGGATGCCAACTTTGGCTGGAAGAGTGACTGATCCCTGAGGGTAAGTGAAGTCTCAGAGTGGTTAATAAGTGTGCCCATTATCACCTAGGTAGGTAGTGATACTGAGACATGCACCGAGATCTGCCTGACCCCACAGTCAGGCTCATTCTGTTGTATCGTACTTGATGAAGAAAAGAGATTGAAGCCACCAAAGCAATCTGAAGCCATTGCCAGAGAGGGTGGACACAGGCACAGCCTCCCTGGGAGGCTGTGTGACTGATTCTACCAAGGCTGGTCTTGTGCTTGCTAGCATTTCCCCCCTGATTTCCATCCAAGAGAAATCTGAGTGCAGATGCCCACAAAAGATGTGTACCAAAATTTTCATAGCAATGAAGTTTACAATAACTAGAAACTGGAATCATCCCAGCTATCCACCCATAGAAAAAATGGATGAACTGTAGTGCATTCATACAATGGAATACTACTTAGAATAGAATAAAATAAATGACTGTTTGCAACAATGTGGATTATCTCAAAGACAAGGTTTATTGTTGAATGGAAAAATCCAGACACAAGGCTATGTCCTGGATGATTTCTTTTATATAAAGTTTAAGAACCTGCAAAATGAAGCTATGGCATTAGCATCGAGGAGATGGGCATAGTTAACAGGAGTTCATGCATTGGTAAAAATGCAAGTCACATACTGAATATTTATGCATATTTTTGTATTGTGTGACTTAATTTAAAAGATTAAAGTAGGGTCTAAAGACTTCCTCCCCATTATCCCAACCCACCCAACCCAAAATGTGCTGCGTTGGTCTAGCTAATTTCTTCCTTGGCAGAGACAAAGCATTCTAAGATCCGATAAAGGGAGGAGGGACCTACTTAGGCCCATTGGCTACTCAATGATAAGGGTTGACCTTGAATTCATATAGAATGTCCCTGTTTATTTGATCCATTATTCTGTGTGTCCCCCTCATCCTCTCAGTGCCTGCAGATGTTCAAGAGAGGCGGGGAGTGTTTCATAACAGAGGAAATCGAGGTTCCCAGAAGGACTTGTGTGCGGCTGAGCAAGGCCACACAGTTTAGAGAGGATGTGATCTTGTGGGAGTGGGAACAACCCTGGGAGGAAGCCAACAGGGACCCTTGAGACACACAGGAGGGGTCAGGTTGGAGGAGGGGTGGCCCTGGAGAGTTGCCAAAGCATCCAGCCCTCCAATGTGCTGTTCCACCTCAAATAATTGCATAATGTAGGTAGCGTTTATGATTTACAGCTCGAAAAGCAGATTCCAGGCAGATGAACAAAGAGGAACAAGAACCCTTCATCAGCGTGGAGCAGCTAGACACGCCCAGAACACAGGATGCATTCCATGTGGCGACTAAGTTCCTGAAGCAGATGTGGACAAGCAAACATTGATGGACAACCAAAGGGATCTATCAAATGTGGCATGCTCAGGCCATCACCCTTGCCAGCATTGCCATATAGTTCCCATTGCCTGAAAGGTCACCTGGAGAGAAAAGTTCTTTCCTGCACTGGATTCTATGTGGACTTGGTTGGTTTCTTGTGCTTTGGGTATCAGGGAATCCATAGTCACAGCATTCAGTTGTGGCTTTGTGGAAGCCTCAGAAATGTGCCCTCAGAAGGAACATTTGGGGCACTATCTCTTCCTGACTTTGCTGCTATATGACAATGARTTATCTTCTACTTTATGGGAACTGCCTGCAGTCTGCCCCTCCCACAAGTATAGCACTGGAACACGTCTGGTTTGAGCCACTGTTAGTCAGCTTTCTGTTGCTGGGACAAAGTACCTGAGGTAATTAACTTAAGAGGAAGAAAGGTTTATTTTGGCTCAGAGTTGTAGAGATTTTGGTTCATTGGCCCCCTTGCKTTTGGCCTGTGGTAGCACAGTACATTATGGTGGGAGCATATGTTGGAAGGCATTCGCCTCATGGAAGYCTGGAAACACAGAGAGACAGGAAGGGATTGGGGTCCCAATACCCTAATGATCTAACTTCCRTCCATTGGCTCCACCACTTAAAGGTTCCACCACATCCCAGTAGTGTCTTAGGCTGGTGACCAAGCCTTTAAAGCATGGGCCTTTGGGGACATTGGAGATTTATTCTAAGGCAGTCACCCTGCAGGACCAAGTAGAATGGGCTCAAGTGTAACCCTGAGGTGCAGAGTGAGGTAAGGGGAGCTGCTGGCTCGATTCTTGAGAATTGCCTGTCTAATTAATGGTCTTCCAAACTTAATGGTAGATACAAGAGACTGGGTTTTCTTATAATGACCGGCTGGGCTGTTTGTTGAGGCTAACTCCTGGTTTGTGTCGGGAATCAAACCATCAACACATGGGAAGAGTGGTTGCCCTGCTAAGGTGACCAGGACATCTAACTTCATATTATGTATTTAATATAAGAAAGGAAGGACTTGGTCACTGCCCTGTTTGGATACAAAAACCATTCTCACTTTCCATGATTCTCGAGGTGGTTGGTTGATGTTGAGTTTGCAGGAATGTTCAAAACCTAGACCTCAGGAATGGAAAGTGTTGGGCATATTTTATTTCCATAAACTCAGTATTTGTACAATTTAATCTATTTGATGGGGTGTTCCCCTCTACATTTCACTATAGATTCAACCTCTTTTTTTTTTGTCTTAGATATGCTACTGTCCCCATTACCATACCTGGAGAACATGAGGTCACACAGTCATCTCTCCATCCCCAGCTCAAGGCTATGCCATCACTTTATGTCTTTCTCATTTGTGAGTGGCTTCAGTGTACTTTGTGGCACCCTGGACTATTGGTTTCTTCCTTTGCTTAAATTAGTTTGGGTTAGGTTTCGTTCACTTGTGATCAGTCCTGACTAATTCAAATTGGTTCCAGAACTGGGGTTTTACAGTTGGTCTCTCTCCAGTACCTTCAACTCTTTTGACCCTTGTTTTATTAAAGCCAGTCAACCTAAGCCCTGGATCAAGCTACAGCTATTCCTGGGCCACTGAAGGGGCTTCTGGAGAAAAACAGAGCCACACCTGCTGGCCAAAGCAAAGCAAAAGGAAGCAAATCAAACAAAACAGCATGGCACTGCCTACAGGATCTGCTGTGGATGTGRTGTGTCCAAATCAGAACTCTTTATTCTGCTTCTTCCCAGATTTCAGCTGCCTCTGGTCTTCTCCACTTGAGAATCATTTGTGGAATCTCCATTTGGCTCTGTGCAAATACCTTGAGTCATTGTTGACTCATCCTGTTTTTCTTTCATACTACATCTGATTGTTAGATTTACCATCACTGAATCTTGTTCTTTCATACCACATCTGTTAGATTTACCATCACTGAATCCTGTTCTTTCATACCACATCTAATTGTTAGATTTACCATCACTGAATCTTGTATCCTTACAAA